TATGTAAAATAATGCACGCCCTCATTATTTTTCCTAAGACATCAAGATCCCACATTCTAGCTGGTTGGCGGACAATAGCGAAGCGTGCTTGGAGTACCCCGAATGCGCGTTCCACGTCCTTCCTGCATGATTCCTGTTGTTTGGCAAAAAATTGATGTTTGTTGCCTTGGGGCATTTGAATTGACTGCACGAAGACAGGCCACTTAGGGTAGATTTCGTCGGCAAGATAGTATGCAAGATTGTACTCCCGCCCATTCACGGTGAAGTTTACCCGTGGAGCTTCACCCGACTCAATGTCGTCAAAAACCGGTGACCTATCTAGTACATTTATGTCATTCAAACTACCAGGAAGCCCTGAAAAAGCATGCCATATCCACAAATCATATGACGCAACTGCCTCGAGGATAACTGTTGTCGTCCCCTTGGTCCACTAGTAAACTACCCTTGCCAAGCCTTAGGACAATTTTTCCACTGCCAGTGCATGCAATCAATACTTCCAATCATCCCTGGGAATCCACGTTCCTGTCCAACTTGGAGCAACCTCTGCAAGTCTTCCACATTTGGTCGTCGTAAGTATTCATCTTGAAACAATGCTATTACCCCTTCGCAAAACTTGCGAGTACACTCGATAGCAGTGGATTCTCCTATCTTGACGTACTCATCACAAGCATCGGCTGCGACTCCATATGCGAGCATGCGTATGGCAGCCGTACACTTCTGGATAGGCGTTAACCCAAGCTTGCCCGCATTATTGCGCCGTTGTGTGAAGTAATCGTCGTAATTTGATATAGAGTCCACAATTCGTAGAAAGAGAGGCCTTTTCATTCGATACCTGCGTCGGAACTGGGCGTCAGTGTAAGTGCATGACTCGGCAAAGTAGTCGGCCATGAGTCTCTCATGCGCTGCATGATGATCTCTATGTATGGATTTCCTCTTACGTGGTTGTTCGCTTCTCCTTTGCAATTCTTCAAGAAGTTCTCGCTGCCTATCAAGTATTTTTTCTTCTATTTCCCATTGTTGTTGGAACTCTTCTAGACTAAACTCATTTAGGAAAGGATCCATTGGATGCTATGATTTTTGAAATGTTGATAGGTATACTTATGATGTGCATCTGATCAGTTTATATAATGAAGGGTAGTTGTTCAAATAATTGAATTCACATGCAATTGCAGAGACATGTGTCAATTTGTTTGTTTTTGCAGTGAGAGGTCAATTCATATTTTGTATTATTATGCAGGTGTAGTCATTTCATCCTTTGTATTTTTTGCAGTGAAAGGTCAATTCAACATTTGTTTGTTTTTGCAGTGAGTAGTCAATTCATATTTTGTATTATTATGCAGGTGTAGTCATTTCATCCTTTGTATTTTTTTCAGTGAAAGGTCAATTCAACATTTGTTTGTTTTTGCAGTGAAAGGTCAATTCATATTTTGTATTATTATGCAGGTGTAGTCATTTCATCCTTTGTATTTTTTGCAGTGAAAGGTCAATTCAACATTTGTTTGTTTTTGCAGTGAGTAGTAATTGTATCTTTTGTACTATTATGCAGTGAGAAGTCAATATCAATCGGCTTTATTGAAACATAAACAACAATTTTATTCAAACATAAACAACACTTTTATTAATACATTCAACAAACATAGGCACCTACACAACTCCAAAATTAAACAAACGGCACACAAAAACATCAGAAAGAAAACACACAATCATAACTTCTTGAGAAGGTCTTATTTTCCAAACAGGTTCTTCCTCAACATATTATAAGCTTCTTCATCTTCATCGTCACGATCTGGTTTGTTTTTCAAGAATAACCACATCTCCATATTCTTGGAATGAGCCAGGTTATTCATAGCTGAAGCAGTACTTGATCTTTTCTCTTCAAATTTTTCATGAGCACTGACTAGCTTAGATAACTCCTCCTCAATTGCCCCCTTTGATTTCCTTGACACAGATGTTTTACTAGAGGAAGCTCTAGCTTTCTTCTTTGTCACGTCCCTACCCTCTGGACGTACAAGGGTAGGAGTTGATGATTCAACATCCTCACCACTACTCTTTCTTTTAGAGCCATTACTATCGGATGCATTTTCTCCTGTCATATATTTGGGTTGATTACGAACCACCTTCCACTCATCCACCAAATTAAACGTCGTATCTATTTTCTCAAAGTACAACTCTCTTGCCTTGGATATGTAGTTTTCATCGGACCAACCGCTACGCTTCTCCCTACATGCAGTACTGTAGCAGCCAATGAAACTGGATATCTTTCTGTTGATGTCTTTGAAATGACTATGGCACCGAGACACAATCCTCTCCTTTCCACTTTTGGCGTTCTCATTCACGTACTGTGTAATTTTACCCCAGAAAGTTTCACCCTTTTGGTTGTTCCCCAACTCACTATCATTACTAACGTGAAAATAACCAGTTAGTAAAAGTATGTTGTCTTCGGTGGTCCAAGTTTCATAACTTGATCTCTTTGCTGATTGTTGGGTCGGAGGGAGAAAACTGTGAGGAGTATCCCCATCAACATTTCCCAAAGACATTTGGGTGAAAAATTCTGAGATATCTGTAGATTCGCTACTAAACCGGGGTGTCGCTGGCTCACTCGACTCCGTGTTAGGACAATTCATATGGGAGGGAACATAGCTGCTTCCCGGAACTAGAGGATAACCGTAAGGGAGATAAGGATATTGCATGCCGAAATTTGGTTGCATCATGTACGGCATTTGAAAATTGGGCTGCATCCCCGTATTTTGAGTATTTTCGGGGCGTTGTATATTTGGATGTTGTGGTTGAGGGAGGGTATTTTGAGGTTGGTTAGGGAAGTTGTAGTTGTAGGAAAAATTAGGATAGTTTTGTGAAGAATCCATGAAGAAACTAGCTTCAAATTGTAGAAAGAAGAAGAATATGGTGTAGAAACTCAGATTTTTTTTTGTGTCCAAATGACACAAAGTTAGTCTCTATTTATAGAGTTTGAAAAATGAAAATTAATGGTATAAAAATTATAAATTAATTCATTGTATTTATCTTAAAAAATATCAAATAAAAATAAGGAGGAAAAAAAAATGCTCGCCCAATCAAAATTCGCCACGTGTCCGCTGGCCATCATCCCGCGCGCGTGGGCTTGTCAGAAAAGTCCGTGGTGAATTTTTCACCCTTTGGCCAATCTCATTTATTTCACCCGCACAAAAAACCCCTGCTGCCTTCAAATATCCCTTGGAAAACCCCCTGCTGCATATGGTCTTAGAGAAAATAGATGACCTTCCATGTTCTCCAATTAATCATAAAGTCCTTTGCGTTTCTCACCGTCCAGCCATCGAAGTCCTTCGTTCAGCCACATCCAGCCTTCGTTCTATATATCCACCCTCTCCAAAGCCACGTCCAACCTTCGTTCTCATACAGTCCTGCCCCAATGGATTTTCAGCCCGAGAGCAACATTGATCTCTCACCTACAATCATAGTACATAAAAGCAAACTTATTAATTTTCCAACTAAATTGGGTTATTATGTTCCTTGATTGTATACTATAAATTGTAGCCTAATTGTTTGTATACTAAAGTTACATTATTGTGTAGCAAACTGTAAAAGCAATCTTTCTTTTGCCAAACAATTATATAACTTGTATACTGTAAACTAAATGATAATACAACTTGTATGCTATAACTTGTATTGCTTCATACTTTAGTTTATAGTATACAAGTTATATTATTGTTTGGCTAACACCACCTGTAACTAACAAATCACCATTAATATCATTTCCTTTAACTTGAGGTGATAGTGACCTAACTTAATTTGTATTGGCTTTGCTATTTAATTTATGGTAATTTAAGTTAGTTTTAGAGTGATTGATAATAATCTTTTTGTTGACTTGTAGAGGACAATGCATGATGGAATTGAAGGAGAATCTACCCAGAAAAAATCACTTGATACAAATGTCAACATAGAAATTCAAGATGCTAATATTCATGATGCTACAGTGAGAGTTGATCATCTTAAACCTGTAGTGGGAATGACTTTCAAGTCATTTCAAGAAGCTTGTGACTTCTATAACCAATATGCTAAAATTGTTGGATTTGGGACAAAAGTGAAGTGATCTTGGTTCTCCGACGATGGTCAGCGTAGAGGTTTTACATTAGCATGTTGCAAAGAGGGGAAAGCACATCACACAACAACTGATAATTATTGGGCGAGACCATCAGCAAGGACGAGGTGTTTAGCTAGCGTTAGAGCAAAACTGAAGAATGATGGACTATTTTATGTTACCAAAGTCGAGCTAGAACATAATCATGAAGTCACTCCATCAAAATCGCGATTTTTCCGTTCTCATAAAGAGTTGCCGGAAAAAGTGAAGATGCAACTAGAATATAATCATTCAGCGGCGATACCATCATGTAAGACATTTCAAGCTTGTATTGTGGAAGGTGGAGGATATGAAAATGTTTCATATGGTGAGAAAGAATGTAGAAACCATCTTGAAAAATATCGAAGGTTGGCTCTTGGTGAAGGAGATGCACAAGCTTTGTATCGATACTTTAGTCACATGCAAGCTCAAAGTCCAAACTTTTTCTACTCAACAGATGTGGATGAGGAGGGGATAAGGAATGTCTTTTGGGCTGATAGCAGATCCAGAGCAGCATATGAATATTTCGGTGATGTAATTTCTTTTGACGCCACTTACTTGACGAACATATATAGTATGCCTTTTGCTCCTTTTGTGGGAGTAAACCATCATAATCAGTCTATTTTATTGGGTTGTGCATTGCTTTCTAGAGGAAATACAGAGACATTTATTTGGTTGTTTCAAACATGGTTATCATGTATGTCAGGAATCCCTCCCAAGGCCATAATTACCGACTAATGCAAAGGTATGAAAGGAGTAATTGCTGAGGTATTTCCAGAGGCTCATCATAGACTATGCCTATGGCATATCATGCAAAAGCTTCCTGTAAAGCTAAGTGGATATAAAGAATATAAAGCAATTAAAAGGAGTTTGAAGAACATAGTGTATGAATCCTTATGGATCGAACAATTTGAAAAAGATTGGGAAAAAAATGATTGAACAATATGGACTTGAGGATAATGAGTGGCTTTGTGCATTATATAAAAATCGACATCATTGGGCTCCTATTTTTGTAAAAGATATTTTTTGGGCTGGCATGTCAACTACTCAAAGAAGTGAGAGTATGAATGCTTTCTTTGATGGATATGTGCACCCAAAAACTTCACGCAAACAATTTATTTCAAAGTATGATGTTGCTTTACAAAGTAAGTTTGAGAAAGAAGCAAAAGCAGATTTTGAGTCATTCCATAAATTTCCAAAATTAATTTCAGAACATACTATAGAGGAGCAACTATCCAAAATTTATACTATTGGTATTTTCAAAAAGTTTCAAGAAGAGCTAAAGGCTTTGGTATCTTGTACTCTTTCTTTTGTTCATATTGATGGAGATATATCCAAATTTCAATTTAAGGAGCGTGTAAAACAGAAAGATGGTACAATGATGAATAAGATATTTGAAGTTCATTATAAGGGTGGTGAACTAGATGTTTGGTGCATTTACCGATTGTTTCAGTTTAGAGGTATTATGTGCCGTCATGCGCTAACTGTTTTAAATTATAAAGATGTAAATGAGATTCCTAGTAGATACATTCTCAACCGTTGGAGAAAAGATTTCAAGCGCTTGTATTATTTGGTCTATTCTACTTCAAATGTGATGCCTACAGGACCAGCTCAACGTTATAATTCTATTCAAAAGAGTTGCAGTATATTTACGGAGATTGGAGCTTTATCTGAGGAAAAATTTCATCATGTAATGAAAATTTTAAATGAAGCAAGAAATCAAGCAATGTATGATTCAACATTGTCCCAATCTACGAAAGCGAAGGAAATAGAAATTGGCAATCCAGTTCATGTAAAAAGTAAAGGCCGTCCGATAGAAAAAATGAAGATATCTACAATTGATCAAAAAATAAAGAAGAAAAAGGTAAATAAACTATCATGTTCAGTTCTTTAGTAATTTTATTAATATTTTAGTTTGTTCTATACTAATTGTGTGCTCGCTAGGTTTCTAAACAAACACGGCTTGAAACAAAAAATCCTGATGCACTTGTTGTAAGTTTGACTATGTATCCCATGACGTGTATTTTGTTGAACCTTCAATGGTTAATACTTGATTTAGTGTGATACAAAATAAAATAAAAAAATTTATTTTCTTTTGTATAGGAACAACTTTCATCAAATGTGAAGCTAAATGAAGACAACCAACAAGCAATTGGGGATAATCTAGGGTTACATTGGAGTTCACATCATATGGTAAAATTTTAGTTATTTTCATTTATCATCAGTAGTCCATGTGAGAAGTTCTTTATGTATTTTATGTAATGAAATATTAAGTCGCCAACAAATATGCAATTCGAATTGGGCATATATTATTTATCTACTTGACACTATGTATTATCTTATATATTCTAATTTGTACTCGTTAATTTCATAGGGATCATTTTATCGACCTATATTCAGTAGTCATCATGAAATGCCAAGGCCTTATCCTACAGTTTTCCAGGTGTGTAACTAGTATCTATTTTATCTTATTTCTTTACAGTTTTGTTGTATTATCATAAAGTTGAAATTCTTCTCTTGCACTGTAGGAACATGTTTATCCAACTCAGTATATTTTTCACATCAATAGCCAAGAACAAGCTATTCCACCAAACTTATTCGCTTCTCCTCAAGTAATAACGTACATGATTTAAATCTATAACATATAATAAATTTTACTAATGCTACCCGTTATTATTTTTATTGGTGAAGGCTACAAACGAGGATCCCAAACTTTAAATGGAGTGTCGTCGGTGGAATCGTGATTAAGTGGAGAATTCATTGGGAGATTCATGAGAAACTTTAGATAGAATATTAGCTTGGAAATATGCTTTCTCATCTATTTTTGTAAATTGAAGATTTTTAAAAAATGATGGTAAACTATATTTGTTTTTACAAATTGAAATAGAACTATATTTATTTTCGTTGATTAATTTTTGTAGTATCTTATATTGAAGATCTGGTATACTTTTCAATTGACAATTATCTTTTATGACTTAAAGATGAATGATATGTTGTCCTACAATGTTTGATTGAGTTGAGGTGAACATATTTTGGTTGCATCATGATGATGGTGCAAGTGGGAATTGCTTTTGTCCATATTAGCCTGAATTTTATTCTTCATTTACCGTATTTTAGTGTTCATTGGCTTTTACAAGTTCATTTTGATATATATTTTAGTATATTTTTATCCTTTAATCATGTGCAGATCACTTGGCAAAAGTGTCATTTATACCCATTTGTACTCTTTTCTCAGTTGTTATCTCACAATAGGTATCAAAATGGATCATGTTCAAATTTCACATCTTCTGTTGTGAGAAAGAAAACCAATATTATCTCACAATAGGCTGCTCTAAGAAGTCCAGAGAATGTTGATGCACCAGCAGGCAAATCAATGTTTAGTGATTATAGTGTGGCTCTGCATGATCCAAATTCTGTTAAAACCACAAACTTCAGGCTGAACATACCTGCTAAAAATGCTCCGTCCACAGGATCTATCAAAAGACTTTGTCATTATGATCAACAATGAGCGACCAGTTCCATTAACCAGCTATTAAGAAATCTCAACAGAAGCGTATATGCAAGCAATAGAGGTCGGCATGTTTTCGCTACAAATGCACCAGACATAATATTTTCACAAAAATAAGATATTCTTTTACAAGAATATAAGCACAAGAATATAAGCCAAGTAATGTCTCACAAATTCCATCAATTTTAACAAGACAACAATAGCAACCAAGTTTCAGCACCAAATTCATATTCATATCATGTCACATTGACGGAATTTTACAATTTTTTGTACCATATCATGTCACAAGAATATAAGCGAACATGGCGTCGATGACAAACTTCAGCAACGATGTGATCTTTTTGATTTCTCTCAAAATGGAAGGATCAGTTGAAGTCCGCTCATTCTTCCTCTGCCCAATCTCCCTCCAAATCATTAGGGACCCCGTCACCCTCTCCACCGGCATCACCTACGACTGCCAGAACATCGAGCACTGGGTCTTCACTTTGAAGCACGACACGTGCCCCCTCACCAGGCAGCCCATCGACCCCGACCTCATCACCCCCAACGTCACCCCTCCCACGCCTCATCAAGGCCTGGTGCGCCCTCAACTCCTCCTCCTCCGAGGGCATCGAGCGCTTCCCCACTCACCCGGGCCCACGTAGCCGACCTCATCGAGGGCGCCGCGCCGAGCCCCGACGGCATGAGAACGAGATCTTTTTGGTTTATTGATTGTATTTGACTTCAATGACAATCGATCAAGGGTTGAGAACGGGGTTTGCAAGAGGAGCTTTGGGGTTGGGGGAAATCTAATTTTGCTGCATTTATTTGACAGGAGAGATGACTCACCAGAATTATCAAGGTACCCTTTCATATTTCCAACTCACTATTTTGCAGCTAATTAATATTTTCTAGCTGTATCCGTCACGTCAGCTGTCCCATGAACCTCTTTCATTTTTGGGTCATGATAGCAGCACTCATAATTTAAAGTTCAAATGAATGCAAATTCTAGTTAAATTAGTTTTAATATAATACTCACCTATAAACTTTCCCACCTTCAGTAAGGTTAGACGTTTGATATTTTGAAATTTGTTTAGGAAAATTAACCTAGTCAAACCCTTTTATTTGTTTTTTAATCTATCTATCTACCCTTTAAAAGAGGGAGTTCCAAAAAAACTTTACCCTCCCCAAAATAGCCTTCCACCAAATTTAATTACCAAGGCAGTGTTTGGATACTGATGTGTTTTTTCGATTTTTGTTTTTTTCTCATTTATTTTCCCCCAAACCAACGCCATCCCCTTTTCTCCCCCCTCAACTCTTCAAGGATCGCGGTCCCCCTCGCGATTTTCCTCACCTCTTCCGCTCCGCTCCGCTCCGATCAAGTCCGGTCTCTTTCGATTCCTTGCGATCCTCGATTCCGAAGCCCGACTAGGGTTGGAATCGTGTAGCGCGTCTCAGATCGATGCAGTCATCTTCGCCGCCAACCCACCCGGTGATGATGTGGGCTCCGCCCCCGCCACGGCGGTGATTGGCGAAGGGCACGTCGGAGGCGGAGGAAGGCGACCGATGAAGCAGAGGCTGCTGGTGGTGGCGAACAGGTTGCCGGTGTCGGCGGTCAGAAGGGGGGAGGAATCTTGGTCGCTTGATATCAGCGCGGGCGGCCTTGTCAGCGCTCTGCTTGGTGAGAGCTTGAACTTTAGTCTTATCTCCACTGCATGGTTGCTTCGTCGTCATGTTAGTTTAGAATAGGGAATTTAATCAAGTTTTTGGAGTTAAAAATGGTGTAATGATGGGAGTTTTGTTGCATTAGTTCGTGGGTGGAGGAGGTGGATGCTAAGTTTTATTGCATGGTTGCTTGTTGCTATAATGTTTTATATATGATGGAGAATTTTGACACTTGACAAATAAAACTTTCATATCTAGGAACAAGGACAGGCTAAGACATATCTGGTTTGCCGAGTCTCAGGATCCAAATCAGACAATTTGCTAGACTCGAGTTCAACTTTCTAAGTATCAATTTCAGGTTCACCTTTCACCAAAAACTTCCACCACTCCATTTGATTTTGCTTGGTCAACAGTATAGAAATGACCTCCCATCCTGTGTAAAGTTGAATATATTCAAAACATTTCAGTGAGAATAATGCAACATCACAGGAAATCCAACAGAGTCTTAGTAGTTTGTACACAAACCTATGTTCCAGAAGCAATCATCAACTCTGACAGATTGATATATGTTTGTTGGAAATTTGTAGTAAAAAGACAATGAAAGAAAAATTGATTTGTATTCCTCTCAAAATCGATTACAATTTGGATTCCGATTACAAAAGAAAGGAGAATGAATTTGATTCTCCCCTTTGTTTAATTCTGGGTTCTTCACGGTGGCGATGAGATGCCTCCCTCGAATGCTCGCGTCGAGTTTGCTTCTCGTTGACGATCCGAACGTCTTGATTCACTGGAACGATGTCTTCTCCTCACGATTTGACGCTGTGGAAAACTTGCGTGGCAAGTTTGAAAATAACTCTTAACGAGTTAATAACTCAGAGTGAGTTTTAGAAGAACTTGCAGAGCAAGTTTTGAACTCTGATCGAGTTGATAACTCTGACGAGTTTTAGAAGAACTTGCAGAGCAAGTTTTGAACTCTGATCGAGTTGATAACTCTGAACGAGTTTGAACTCTTGAAAAAGAGTTGATTTGAACCGAAAGTCGGTTATAAGCCAAGGCCGAATAATTTCAAAGGCTTCAATAAAAGCCTTCCAAAATGATTCAAGAGCTCCTTCAAGTCGTTGATCTCCAAAGCTCTCTGTTACTGCCAAGTCCCAGATCCAAAAATAAATGCCAGCCTTTTGACCGAATCTCCCTTTGTTGATGAGAAAAAAATTCGATCCCTTAACTCAATTGAGTTTCTGGTATTTATAGGGGAGTAAGGGTGGTAACTACCCCCTTAATCCGCTCTTAAGTGGGGCGAAAATCCCTCAAATCGTGGGGGAAAAACAGTTCCTGGAACTGTTCATTGCGTGCTTTGAACGAGTCAAACGCTAAAAAATAGCGTTCAGGGCCCGAACTCTGTGTTTTTAGACTAAAAACGCAGAATTGGGCCTATTTTGGTGGCTGAACGCACAGTTGGGCTTGTTTAAGAGATTAACTCTGCGTTTTGATGTTGAAAACGCAGAGTTAAGCCTGTTCTAGGCTGAAAACGCACAGTTCGTGCTGTTTTAGAGATTAACTCTGCGTTTTGATGTTGAAAATGTAGAGTTAAGCCTGTTTTAGGCTAAAAATGCACAGTTCGTGCTGTTTTAGAGATTAACTCTGCGTTTTGATGTTAAAAACGCAGAGTTAAGCCTGTTTTAGGCTGAAAACGCACAGTTCGTGCTGTTTTAGAGATTAACTCTGTGTTTTGATGTTGAAAACGCAGAGTTAAGCCTGTTTTAGGCTAAAAACGCACAGTTCGTGCTGTTTTAGAGATTAACTCTGCATTTTGAGGTTATAACGCTGGTTCGACCTATGCGCTTTGATTCTGTAATGCAGAGGCGAACCTTAGACGGGCTTGGCGAGCTTCAGGCTAAGTCCAATGTTCTGACGAAATCCAGTCTTGCAGACGGACCTCAGAACATAACTTGCTGCGAAGAACATGTCATAACTTTCAAACCGTAAGTCAGAATTGGACGAATTATATATGAAAATCGGCTATCTCGACGAGACGGGGCCATCCGAACCCAGCCAAAGGCTTCGGTTCGCTTCCTCCATTTCGCCAAATTCCTTACGGTTTGAGAGTATCTGCGTTTTAATATGAAGAGACCGTCAATTTGTAGTCTCTTTTGCTAGAGCTTTGCACAGATCGTCCTCTTGGCTCCTTGAGAATATGAGAGTCGTCAGATTGTAACTCCCGATGTTGATTATGAATGCTGTTGAATTAGAGCTTTCATCAGTTGTCGTGAAAGTCGTCAGATTGTAGCCTTCTACGTGAAAGTCCTCAAATTGTAGCCTTCTGGAAGTCGTCAGATTGTAACTTCCATCCTCGGTGTTTGATGGGGGATCAACTATCTATTGTGATTTTTAGACAGCCTACAATATAGTTCCCTGTAAACATGATCGTAAACGTTTAATAATCCTTTTTACTTTATTGTTTCATCAGTGAGGAAGACTGTACCTACCAGATTAGATTAATGCTTCACAAAGAAGTCCTTACCAGATTACTTTATTGTAATTTCTTATTCATATTCTCAGTTTGATTGTTTGATGGATAACCTTTATTTTTAGTATTGATTGATTATTGATTATTGCTGTTAGGTGTCCGATATTGATTGGAGGAGTAGAAAGCTATCAAGGTAAATTAGTTTTTATTTTATCTTTATGATTTTCCTCTTACAATTATAGCATTTTGTAATGTATTTTTAGTGATATCTGTTGAATATGATTAAAATGTTATTGTGTTTGGGTTTACTTCATTTTTTTGAGTTGAATAATTTGATAGTTAGGGGGTTGGGGGTTGGAGGGAGGGGGTTCAGCTTTATTTTTTTCCACTTCAGGCATAGATGAAGAGTTCAAGTCCTTGTTTTTTTATTATTTATAGCAACAATGTTTTATAAAGATGTGGTCTTTTATGGAGAGAATATTATGAACAAAAATTAGAATGAGAGATTGAAAATTTTTTTTTTGTGATACGGATCATTTAGGAATTCATTTTTGGTCTATTTGAGTATTTGAGATTTGATTTTTCAGTGGTATAGTTGAAAAGCTATTTGAAGTTTCTAAAAATAAGCTTGATTGTGTCTTCATATCAATGAAAAAAGGAATAATAGAGGACACGGAGAAAACTTTGCCTCTCATGTGGCTATCAATTCATTAGCACTTATTGTGGATTTTATTAATCACATAAAGATATATTAGGTGGCTATCAGTTCATGGACTATTACTTTCTGAGTGTACGTATGGATATCTTGACCTTGTCATCAAATAAAGAATCAGTTCATGGACTATTACTTTCTGGGTGTACATATGGATATCTGGACGAAATCGTTCAGCTTCTTTCCACGCTTCCAAAGCTTTCTTAGTCAGAAAAGAATCTGGAACCATACCCGCCTATGACTCTGCAATCTTCCACTCGATCACGTCTGAAGTGTGGTGACTTTGGGATTCCTTCCGCTCCGAAAGGATTTGATTTGGATCCCTTACCAAAAGGCTTCTACATATGAAGATGGAGGGTAGTAATACTAATCATAATATGATACTCACAATCTTTCTAGATATTTCATCTATACGTTCTCTTCATGTAAACTGTATTTTTTTTACATCCTGTATAGAAGCCAAGGAGCGCAGAGAAAGACTTTGGACGTCTTGACGTTAAAACAGTGATCCAGAAATGTATTGCAATCTTCTGCATACGGAACACAAACAATCACACAAAAGAAAACATGGAGCGCTGAGAGGTTAGGGGGTTGGTGTTGGAGGGAGGGGGTTTGGGGGCCGCGAGAGTTAGGGGGAAACCCCTCCCTCCAAGCCGCCAAGCACGCCCGCTAACTCTCGCTCCTTCGCCACGTGGGCTTGCGTTGGTGAAATTCTCATAATCTGTTCGCTATTAAGTTATATATTAGCATTTACATATGAAGGTAGATTTAAGTTTAGAAATTCCGGGCCTTGAACCTGACCAAGTGGCCGTCAGACAAGCATGCTTGATATATGAATTTCATGACTATGGCTATAAACAATCTAGAATGTTAACTGGAATAACCATCTCTTTGGCTTAGAGGTTTGAGCATAATTTTGTGAGTAAATGTGATGAGATGTGTAGCTTTGCAAAGGCGTAGTTGCATTGTGATTTTAGATGCATATGAAGAAAAGAAAAACTTTCCATCAAAGGCCATCGCAATAATATGCTGTCATTATCTGCTTGGGTAGGTCAAAATCGACATTTGGACAATAGTGGGTAACTTCTTTTTGCAAGGATCAAACGACCTTTCTGTTTTCTTTTGCTTTCCATCCACTATGCTTATACGAGAATCTCATTTGCAACATTTAGATAGAGACAGAATTACTATTTATATAGGGCTTGATAATTGTTTATTATCTATGGACAGGCATTGCTTTGGGCATAAAAACAATTTTTACTTGTGCTCTTGCAGTGATATTGCCGTCTATTATTGTGCTATGTTAATGGCTCTTGTGAATGCTCACATGGGAGATAAAAGGGCTAACGCTGATTGTGGCCAAAGCTGTAGTTAATTTCTTATTTATATATTAATTTGATAATTATTTTATAATCCAGATCTACCACGTAATTTTGTGCAGAAAGGGGTTGAATTGTTTCGTTGTTGTGGCGGTCATGCAATGTTTGCAAATGGCTTCTACAAAATAGATTACTAGCGCCACCGGTTTGTAATACTCGGCATTGCTTTAGGCAAGGTAACATGCATATATTTTTGACTGAATTTTTATCAATAGTGAATTTTTGGCACCCTTGTTAAAGCAAATGCTGCAATGAACTGCTTTACCTTTGGTTTCCTATTCATCTGTCTATGCGGATTGATAAATTATTAATCTTCAACTATTGTGCTTGTTTAATGGATAAGTTTAGCGGATGTATATAATTTTTTTTGAGGCAATAACCTGCAAGTATAAAGTAACATTTAATAGGTACTAACCTGCTCAAACCCATACAAGCATACATACAAGAGATTATTGAGTTTGATGGTACATGCTGACTTCTTTCTAATAGGACTTGGCAGAAGCCTTTATTATTCGATAAGAGAAAAGATAGAAAATTCAGACTTAGTGTAGAAGCAAGCAAGCACTTCGATCAACTGGTGTTTTGCATGCAATAAAGCGTTTTTTACAGTATCAGGACAGCTCAATGCAGAAACATATGCATCTGCTCTCTCTGATGTATGATTACCTTTCCTTTTCCAGATTTTGATTCTAAATATGTTAGTTTGATGACTATCTGGATGTTTATAACCCCGATGAGTCTCAGGTATACACATTTGGTCCTACTTTTAGGGCAGAGAATTCCAACACTTCGAGGCATTTGGCTGAATTCTGGGTATTTCAAGTTTCTTAGTCAATATTACTGCTTTCAGATCCATTACTTTCTTAACTGACACTTGGCATGTTTTTTTCTGCTTTGTAATAGATGATAGAACCTGAACTTGCTTTTGCTGATCTAAATGATGACATGGCATGTGCAACTACTTATCTCCAGTATGTACTTGCTTTTGCTGATCTAAATGATGACATGGCCTTTTGCTTTTACTTCATTTTTTTGAGTTGAATAATTTGATATATGCACTGAGTTTTCCCCCCGTATGTTCTGTTAAATGGACCGTTAACAGTTTAATCACTAATTTCCTCTTTCAGAATTTTATTTAAAAATGTCCACATTAAAAGCCAGTTAAAAAATGAGGATATATTATTACATCATAACAATTGATTTTATCCCATGATGATACAAATAGACCCAATGAACCATATTCTTTAGGATTCTCACTTTCAAGAAAATTGTCATACTAGATGTTTCTCACTTTGCATTCAGCTACATAAATTTTTGATGGAAAAAGAAAAACTAATACGTTAGAATTGTTTTGGTCTGCTTTGCTTTGTTATGTGGACCACAACCAACCAACCCCACAGGCCAACCGGCTGAGAAATTTAGAAACCTCCACATCAAAGAACAACGCAATCCTAACGAGGCCACGCAAAGTTCATAACCAACACACAAATGCACAACAAGCTAAAATGCAACACCCACTTACGCCCCTTCGGATTTGATTTGTTCCAGATCAGCCCACACCAATCCCAACGACCCACCACACCACTAGACCAAAAACCATCCCAACCGCGAAGCGTATCGCCCAAACCCGCTTTGATCTTATTTATAAAAACGCTACTATGTACTTCAAACCCCCTTCGAAACAAAATTCCGTCACCCCAAACCACAAAATAACTCGGTGTTCAAACCACCACTAATCGCAAACACACCCCTACTCCTCACTCACCTTCCCTACTTCACTTCGGCCGCCCACAGTCCTTTTCAAGCAAAAAGACGTCACACACACCACACCTACAGACTACCCAGCCCACGCCTGTGCATAATGTTCAATCCTCAACGACCACCCCCAAACCCCCCCCAGAAGGTTACACCAATGCACGGCCCTTCCACGTCCCATACTCGCGATGAAAGCCGTTCAGTAATTCAGACCCAAAACCCCCACATACTCATATTTATTTTTTTATATACTTTAACTCAATAGCACCTCCAACCCCCTAGAACACCATACCCCCCGTTCACAATGTTCTTCAAACCCATAGCCACATGCCATGTACGACCTTAATTACGTCACCTCGCAACCTATACCCCATAATAGAACAATATACTAACTCACGGCCACAGGACAATTACCATACTACCTACTAACCTAGCAATGGTCTCGTCCGGAAAAAACCATTCCCCCCCACTCAATTCTTGTATCCAAGCATTTTTTAGCCACCACATCTGCCTTTCGTGTTATTTTTAAATGAAACGTTTTACCAAGGCTTTTTCACATGAAGGTTGTTTTGTTATACTAAACTTTGCGGTATGAATATAAAGTTCTAAAGCAATTATAGTTGATTAACAATAGACGCGTAGATGGTCATTACAAAAGCACAAAGATTGGTTGCATGCATGATGATGTTTATGTTTAATGAGGTGCATTAGAAAAATGTTTTTTTGTCTCGGTCCTTTTTGCTCAAAGGTGCTCCAATGCGACTCTTTTAATAAGTTAAGATTAAGATCCTTGCATAGACTATGATTTTCCACAAGAATATTTTACTTTTCATTGATATAAACTCTGGAAAGCAATTTGTTTCACATCTGTAATCGAATTTGGTTCTCTTACTCATTAGACACTTAATTATAATATGTATTCTTTAAAAAACTGTGTTATTACTAAGAACCACAAACCAAGCTTCACTAAATAAAGACACCCCCAAAACTCACACACCACGACCTCGTACTCCTCCCGACCCAAGATGCAACACACACAACAACACCGCAACCAAAATCACCCAAACCGGAACATCACTACAATCCGATCAAACACCACACCCACTCTCCAGACTTCACCCACCAACCAAATTTTAAACAACCTCCGACAACCCCCTCAACGCCCACAAAAGACCCCCAATCAACCTACCCACATCGCACCAACAACAAAAAACGCTACCCACCAACAGCTCTTCAAAAGCCACCCATCCCGCGCAAACAACCCAAAACCGACATCACCCGCCCCCCCCCAACACAACAAGATTCTCGCCCCAACTAATATCCCATGAGCTCACACAACCACACATACAAACCAACCACCAACAACAAACCGAAATTGTTAAATATGATCCCTCATGCCCTGCACACCACGTACATGATTCAATAACCAAACCTATGCCCTTTGTTCATCCAACAAAGCACATAATGATATGAACGCACTTATCACATCATTAGCGCTCACAGAAACAGATCCACAAAGAGTATAATGCACATGTAGAATACCGCCGCTCACAAATATCGTTACGTCGTAGAACATCAAGTTTTATAGAATCTTATCGCCCTTCGTACGCTCAGAATGAATCCTCCACAAATTATAGACTTGACGCCTATACACCCAACATCGGACCAACCATGCACATTTACATTTTGACCAACTTAATTAGGTGAAGCAAAGTCCCAACCCAACGCGCCTTTTAAACTGATACAAGTGGCAATGCCCATCTGTTCTAGATTACCATTCAATTAGCTATTTTGAAAAAACTAAATACTACAAATAAACCATAATGACAATAGACGCCTAGAATTCAAAGAAAAAGAACATGTCGCGGCGTTCCAGTCCTACTAATATACACTACAAATAATGCTTGATAACCTACAATTCCTAAACCACAACCTGAGCCACCCATGTGCTTGACAGAACGTTACATATCACTCAAAACCTGGCTCTGCACAATGTAGAACCTCAATGCATATCTGATGAAGCGGATGCATTTCTTGCCAATAGCCAATGCATCATATATAATAATTATTGAGATAATAATATAATATAATCTTCAGACGTAAAACACCTATTGCATTAATGCATACTGAGGCAACAAAACACATAATATCATCCCAAATATTATGCACCAACTATGCTTCAGTAAAGTAACCAAACACCTGCGAACCAATCATTTTGGATTTCTATAGTCTGTGCGACCCCTTTCACTCTGATTGGAAAAACAGAAATCATTATCATCTAATTTTTGCCGCTAACCACCACCTCACCATGACTACCATCTTTTAGTGCCAGAGACAAGCTAACTAAAATAATCAACATTCACCACCAACTTTTTAATAAGAAGTCATCCATGTGCTCATCCCTGCACAGCTAACGAGGGCATAACCTCATACTAATTCACTCGCATGCAATATATGCCGCTCAAAACTGCTAAATATAGACCAAGCCTGCAGAACAGGACACCAACTAACTTACTAGCATAAGGATCGACCATTAATATGATTTACAAACAAAAACACCTTAACCACTCAATCAGCTAACCACATCTCAGCATGCTATATCTAAGGCATTAAATAAATACCAAAAAGTACATGCGGACTCAACAAACCAAGAACACTCTCGAAAATCAGGTTTTAAGAGAATAACTTAGAGTTCGCTCAAATGCCATATTTTAAATTGATTTTAGATTATTTACTTCTGGCAAATTCTATAGATATACTTTCAAACACTTAGACTCCATGAACCTATTAGGATTCAGTGTGAGCCAAAACGTAGCGTATAATTTGGCTAACTACAAAAAAGATTTTTAATATCTATTATTTAACCCAAACAACCCACAACCACCCCCCACTTTTCAAAACCAACCGCCCAACCCCAAACACAACCAACCAAAACCAACCCAAACCACCAACCACACCACACAATCACCCTCAACAACCACCTCACACCCAAAAAACCAACAAACCAACACCACACCCAACCCAAAACCCCCAACAAACACCACCACAACCAAACCACACCCCACACAAACCCCCAACCAACCAAAAAAAAACAACACCCCACCATACAAACCACCCCAACCACAAAAAAACCCACCCCCACCAACAAAACGGTGGTCTTCATTAACTTCTTCTTATTCATAAACACTTGCGTCGAATATTATGCTGAATATTTTTTTTAGGACATTCTACATGTGTGCCCTACACAAAGGAATTATTAACTTACATAAATGACAATAATTTATTCAAATTTCCCTTTCACAAAAACGCAGCATACTCCAAAGGAAAAAGACAAGTTATAAGCCCTTCAGATAGGGGCGTTGCCACTATTAACTAGCTCCTACCCAACAACCCATCTACGAGATGATTCCATATTTTTCCTTCAAAGACCCCTTACCGAGACAACAAAACCGCGGAAGTCTTGCATAAATAACTATAACTATTCAACCGTAAGTAACCTGCTAGGAACCACATTAAACAATCAATCATGCCCCTGAAAATTGGAAATTGAACTGATGAGCGTGACACCTCATAATACAGTTTTTTCCTGCAATCTACCAAACACCAATGGCACTTGAATATGAAACAGTTTAAAAGCCTCCTCAACTACCCAATGTGATTCACATATCCTACCTAGCATTTCACACACATTAAAAGAAACCTCTCCAATCATTTAAATTGCACTACTCATAAATAGCCGATCATCTGCATTTGCAAAATTACCTCTCCAACTCACAAGAACTTTGTCTTCTCTTTTCAGCCCACATGTCTCTCTTTGTGATGTAAGCCTGTGATGACGTTCCCATTACTGTAAGTTAGCTAAACACCCACAAAAACCGAATCAGCAAAGCAACAAACATATTGAAGCCCACTAAGCTACAAGTTATGCCACAGGTTAGATTGTGGTTGTAAAAAAATAGTCCTGTAAAATGAATACTAATTAACCAATATATTGTAAATGCCACGCTTCGCTCAAGCACCTTATCACCAATATATGTAATGCCAGTGGTGTGGTGTTTATAGACATTTATTTATTGTTTAATTTTTCATACCAACTTCAAACAGACTTTGTGAAACGTCACCACTATCAAAGCAGCCTTCTCTTTAGTTGCCTTATCCTGGCATTTGGGCGGTTTTTAGAGAATAATTTATGGTATGTCATGATTAATTTTTAAATTTTGATTTAGATTTTTATTTTGGAAATTCTTAGATTGTTCAAACACTTGCTATGCTATTAGGATTAATGTTGAGAAACCGTAGGTTATAATTTGTAACTTCACAAAAAAAGAATTTTTAATATCATTATTTAAGGTGGTTTCATTAACTTCTTGCTTATTCAAACACTTGTGTCGAAATATATGCTGAATTATTTTTTTAGGACATTCTAATGTGTGCTACACAAAAGGTTATTCTTACATAAATGACAATATTTATTCAAATTTTCCTTTCAAAAAAGAAGACATATAAATAGGAAAAAGACAAAGTTATAAGCTTAGATAAGGGGGTTGCATTTAACTAGCCATAATATAGAGTGATTTCATATTTTCCTTCAAAGAAATTGGAGAGCAACAAGGGAAGTCTTAGCATAAATAACTATAACTATTACCCGTCGTACTGTAGGAAACATAAAATCATCATGCCTGAAAAATTGGAAATTGAACTGATGGCGGAACTCATAAATACAGTATTTTCCTGCCAATCTAACAAACAAATGCTTGAATATGAAGTTTAAAGCATCTTCAACTAAATGTGTTCCATACTCTAGCATTTCACACAACATTAAAAAGACCTTCCATCTTTCTTGACTACTCAAATACCCATCATCTGGATGCAATACCTCTCCAACTCACAAGAACTTTGCTTCTTCTTCAGCCCACATGTCTCTCTTTGTGATGTAAGCCTGTGATGACGTTCCATTACATGAAGTAGTACACACAACCGAATCAGCAGCAACAAAATTTGAAGCACTGTACAAGTATTGACAGTTGGTGTGGTTGTAAAAAAAATAGTTGTAAAATGATACTTTAAATATATGTAATGCCAGCTTCCTCAAGCACTTTAAATATATGTAATGCCAGTTGGTGTGGTGTTTATAGACATTTATTTATTTGTTTATTTTTCTACAATTCAGATTTGTGAGTCAACTATCAGCAGTTCCTTTAGTTGCCTTATCCGGATTTGGCCTCTATGAGTTAGGCTTTCTCAGTGTAAGCATCATTTTGTTTTTCGAAACTTTTTTTTCTATTTGCAGACTTGTCATTGTTGTTCACAAGTTTGTGCTGTGAACCTTTTGAGTTTGTTTATTGTATAATTTACATAAGATGTGGTAGAAGATCTGTTACAGTTGGCTGATACTTTTGTTTGCCCAGGTTGCCAAGTGTATTGAGATTGAGCTTCCACATATAATTCTGTTGATAATCTTTTCCCAGGTATTGAAATGTTGTAAATTTCGTTGGACTACCAAAAATTCACACTATGATTCACTAAACGTAGTTAGTATCTTTTATTATAAAATTTTAATACTAAAAACTAATATTGAGACAATATGTTTTGGTTTTCTTTTGGGTTAATTGTGGATAGACACCCTGTACCATTGCCTATTTGCGCATAGATCCCCTGTAGTTCTATTATTGGAGATAGGCCCTCAGAGTGACTTTCTTACTCTTTTACCACCAAAAAAGGAGGAAATTATTTTTTTTTGGACAAGTATGCCTCCTGAGGGTAAAAACGAATTCACTCAGGGGTCTAATCACAGTTCAGTGATAGTACAAGGGGGTCTATTCTTAACCATACAACTACAATGGGGTCTGTGTGCAATTGGGTGATGACACTGGAGGCCAATCTGCAATTAAGAACTGATGTGGGTTTAAGAAGTTAGCCAGTTCAAATTGTGGGTAAGGAAACATTACCCAGTTGTTAAGCTTCATAGAATATCAACGTGATGATATATGAGAATGTTATGAGATGATGTTTGGCATTTGTTTATCTTGACACTATTTCAGGTGACTGGAAACCAAGTTGCAAAAATCACCTTTCATAACGCTGTGATTAGAGTCTGTAGCTGGCATCCATACTACCATATGCTTGTGAGCTATTCTTGGGATTGTCAAATTGCTAGATGGCAATTCTAGGGTTCTGAATCAATTCCTTCCGTTATTGACAATAAACGCCATCGAAGGCAACAGCCTGAGCAAAGGACACTTCCCTGATGCTTTGCGCTCTTCCTCGAGTTTCTGTTTGTTATTTATAATCTCTTGGCATTTATAATTTCTCATGACATGGTGCAAATTCTTTTTGAAGAAGAGACACTGACAAAGGGGATCAACGTCATGTATTGCGAGATCTTTATCATCTAGACTACCCTAGCTGATGAGACCTCAATTCCTTTGTAAAGAATATTTAAGTATGATTATGGTGTAAATATTTGTATGCATCTTCTCTATGATTATGGTGTAAATATTTGTATGCAACTTCAAGGTGCAGTCAGATTACATTGCCTTGTAAATAGACTAAAACAATGTAAGAAACCTGAGAAGCCAAATCATATTTCTTGCTTTTTGTTATGCTATTGAAATCATATTGTCAAAATAATTCTACCTCTAGGTTTTCCTTCAGGATATCTGATTGGTTCATGCAGACAAATTAAAGTCTTTTTTGATTCAGGAGAGAAGTATTATATCAGAGGTTGCATTCATTTTGATATATGAAACTCTTAGAAGCATGTGTTATATACTGCAACTTTCAGTCTACTCATTGAACAAATCTAAATGTTAAGAGTTTGCTTTCCATTCCCATGTGATGCAATGTGGGCCAAATCAGGAGAAAAAACACTGCACATCTTCAGCTCTGTGCAATGATCAACCACATGAACATTTACCGTTTCCTCATGGCAAATTTTTATAACCATGTTATAATAAATAAAAAAATTACCTATAAATAGGAACACAATGTTTCTAGGGTTTGTGGAGAGATTTTGAACATATAATTGAGATAGTTTTGAGCACTTTTGAGGGAGAATTTGTGAGAGACTTGAGAGTGGTTGATTTAGGGTTATATTTGTGAGATTATTGAGTGATTGTAATCTCTATTTGTACACACACTCTCTCTCTTTATTAGTAAAATATATTTTCTCCTTGCCCCGTGGACACAGGCACATTGCCGAACCATGTAAATTTGGTGTCTTGTTTGTGTGGTGCTTGTTTTGATTGTTGATTTATTTTCCTATCTTGTTTGTGATTTCGATTCCGTTGAGCACAACAAGTGGTATCAGAGCTCCGGGTTGGCTTGGGGTTCGATTTGAAGGAGAAAGCTAGGGTTTCTACAAGGGATTTCATCTTCCAAGGAGTGGTGGAGAAATCAATTGGAGGATTTGGTGCGGATTCTCATTTGAAGAGATTGGATTGTCAAAATGACCGAAGCAAGTACATCGGGATCATCCCTGACTAAAGCGATACAAGGATTGAGCATTAATAATATAAAATTGATGTTCAAAATTTGATGGCAAGATAAATTTTGGTTTGTGGAGGTGTCAAGTGATGGATGCATTAGATGCCTAAAATTTGGAGGAGACTCTTGAATTATAAGAGAAACACAATAATATGGAGGATAAGGTTTGGAAGTAAAAAAATAGTAGAGCATGTGAGGTTATTAAATCATGTTTGACGCCGGACTTGATTTATGATGTAATGAATGAAACATCGGTAAAACGATTGTGGGAAACACTCAATGATAAGTATTTGACGAAAAACATTAAGAATAGGCTTCATTTAAAGAAGAGGTTTTATCAATTTAAAATGAAAAGGAGAGTTTTTATTAGAGAACATGTTAATAATTTTACAAAATTGATATCAGATATCACCAATGTGGATATCATGGTAGAGGATGAAGATAAGGCGATGTTGTTATTATGTTCATTGTCGGAGGATGATTATGGTACCTTTATCTTTACAATGATTAATGATAGAACTATTATCAGTTATAAAGGGGTGACCTCAGCATTGGTTAATTTTAAGTTGAGGAAGAGTGATAATGAACCCTCCGAGAAGGCATCGGGAGATGCATTAGTAGTGAGAGGCCATAGTCCAAAACCACGTCCATTTAATCGCTCGAAATCGAAGCCAAGAGGTGGCCATAGAAGTGTGGATAGGAATCAATGTGCTTTCTACAAAGAGGATGTATATTGAAAATATGAATGCCCAAAGTTGAGAGAGAGTCGGGAAGAATAAGCGAAAAGTCAGACAAACTTTAGAGTTGAATGTCGCTAAAGTTAGTGGTGATAATTCAGAATCAGATTCTCCAGGCTACTCATGCCCAGCATTACCGTCAGTTTGTTATGCAGACTCTACAGAATAGATGTTAGATTCGGATGCTATATACCATATTTGCCCTAGGAAGGATTAGTTCTCTAGCTTTGAGGAGTTGGAGAGGGGGGATGTCATGTTAATGGAAAATGATCACGTATGCCCCATTGGTGGTATTGGAACAGTTCGAATCAGGATGTGTGACGGTGTGACTAGGGAGTTGAAGGAAGTGAGATTCGTTCCTCAATTGACGAAGAATATTATTTCACTTGGGACTTTAGATATATCAGGTTATAAGGTGATCATAGAAAATGCAACTATGAATATCACCAAGGGGTCCATGGTGGTGATAAGAGGTGTCAAGAAAAATAATATTTACGATTTGAAGGGCAAGACAGTAACATAGGGTCTGGCAACTTCAATTACCATAGAGGAGGATAGTACCCGTCTATGGTACATGAGGTTGGGACACACTGCTGATAAGTCTCTGCAGGCATTGGCAAAACAGTAACTATTGAAGGGTGCAAAGACCTGCAAGATGGAATTGTGTGAACATTGCATACTTGGAAAGAAGACAAAAGTAAAATTTGGCACCAAAATTCATAACACGTAAGGTATATTAGATTACATTCACACAGATGTTTGTGGTCCATCCAAGAACACATTTCTTGGTGGAGCCAATTACTTTGTCACTTTCACTGATGATTATTCCAGGAGGAATTGAGTATATACCATGAAGCATAAATATGAGGTCCTGGATATCTTTGTGGAATGGAAAAGGAAAGTGAAGTTGCGGACAGGTAGAAAGATAAAAGTGCTCCGTTCTGATAATGGTGGTGAGTACAAGAGTGATCCATTTCTGCAGTTTTTCCAAGATCACGATATTGAACGCCATTTCACAGTTAGGGATGTTTGGTGTGAAAGTTCGTTTATTCATTGCTAAACTTATTACAACTTCAATCGTTACAACAAGTTCAAAAGAGTTAGTCTTTTTATAAGACTTTTCTTACACGAATAAAAAAAAAATAAAAATACAACTCTCTAGAAACACACGCAGATGGCGTTTATCATCCGCTGCTTGCGTGGGATCTTTGCATGTGTCGGGGTTTATCCGTGGATCACCGCGGATCAGATCCGGTTGATAGGAATAAAAAATCAATGCTCTTGTTTCACAAAGAAAATAATCACAGAAGTAAATAATCTCGACCAAGCAAGATTACTACTCTTCTTGAGATCAAAACCAAGTTTGACCTCAAGGTATGCTGACACAGATCTCAGATCTTATGAACAACTCCCTCTTGATGCTGGAATTCGCCAAGATCTGCTAGCCTTCCTCTAAAATTCGTGGATTGCACTCTCTAAACCGACAACACCTCGCCCTCTTTGATAGAATTTCAGATCCCCCGAAATAGGGGCCGGCTTGTATTTATAGGCTTCATAAGTAGTATTTTTGGATAAGAATAAGAGATTCAACATTATCTTCAGTTAATAACAGCCTAACCATGTTTAGATATGATATCCAAACAGTTGGGAGGCTCTGGAACAGAACAATCCGGAGAAAATGATGTGGCATAACTATGTACCAAAATTACAAGTGCACAATTGATCAATTTATAGCATAAAAAGTTATCGATCCCACGAGGAAGGTGATTTTAAGAGATTATTAGAATTGGTTCTTATGTTTTGTGCATAACAAAAATAAGATTAAAGAATAAGTGTGATTATGGAGAGTGATATGATGAGTGATTGTTTTGAATATATGCAAGTGACAATAAATTGAATTTTAGAGAAGAGAAGAAAGAATCAAAGAATAAAATAAAAAGCAAGAATAAAAAGAGAAAAATCAAGAAAACAAAAGATGGAGGGTTCAATTAAAGATATGAGAAATCTAGAATTGAATCCACTAGCTAATCTCAATTATTAAATACAAACTATTCTCTTTTTATCATATTTCAATTTAGATTTATTAAGTATAGACTATCAAACCATTTAAGGAAAGTATAACCTATCAAATTATCATCTAAGTCAAAATTACAATCATGATAAGAACAACAACAAGATAGTAATCTTAGAATTCATAAGTATAACCTATCAAACCATTTAAGATAAGCATAGATTATCAAATTCTTCTTCTATCAATTAGTTCGCTAGTTGATTATCCTAAATATGATCATTTTAAGTGTAAGGGAATAATTCATACAATATAAAGGAAATTAGGCTAGTTTCATACAATTCTAAGATTATTACAAGAATTAATTTCACATCTTAAGAAATAAAAGAAAGAAGAAAAAGAACTAATTACAAAAATAAAAAGAAAAGAAAAATCTAAACTATGAACAAAAAATAAATCTAACTACAAAGAATTAAAATCTAAACTACAAAATAAATTGCAAAAATTAAATGCATGAAAATAAATCTACTCTACAAATTAAAGTACAAAAAGAAATAACAAGATAAGAAAATAAATCTACACTATAAGCATGAATGTAAATCTAACTAATAAGCAATAATAAAGAAATTACTAAAAAAAATAAAAGAAAAAAAATAAAAGAAATGCAAACCTTCAAATTGCTCTTCATCTCTATCCTCATCATTCAACAAAGATGAGAAAAAAATTAAAGTGAAGAATTTTTTTTTTATTAATTGTAATAAAAGTTATAAATTTGGAAGGTATTCTCAATTAAGAGTAATCCTCCTCTTCAAATAGAGTTATAAAATTTTTCACACCTCTAACCCCTCACTCTCTACCCCTATTTATAGTAAACATCAGTGAATGAGAGCTCTTGGATTGAAATATTATCCAAAACAAGCAAATTTCAGTCATTAATCTATAACAGAACGCCGATGATATCGATACCAACATCGATAGGGGTATCGATGCTGGCATCGATACGGGCATCGATGCTGGCATCGATGTCGTGTCCTCTCTGGTTGCTATCCACTGAATTTGTTATATTTGACTTTGGGCTTTTGGCTTTTGGACTTTTGGGCCTTATACTTGTTTTCTTCATTAAATCAATGGGCTTTTGTTGAGAGATGAGATTTTTAAGATTTATTCTTCATTAACCTACAATTAAAGATAAAAACAATTATTAGTGGTATATTTATTCCTATAAAATAGATAATAAGAGTATAAAATTATAATAAAATATGATTATCAAATACCCCCACACCTAAATTTTTGCTAGTCCTCTAGCAAAGAAAGAGAAAAGAAAATCTAACTCACTTTTGCAGGAATCGTGGTTGTATTTAGCACATATAAC